TCACATTTGTAGGGTTTCTCTCCGGTATGAATTCTCTTATGTGTGGTAAGGTGTGAGGATGTGTTAAAGGCTTTGCCACATTCTTCACATTTGTATGGTTTTTCTCCAGTATGAATTCTCTTATGTTGAGTAAGAGTTGAGGACACGTTAAAGGCTTTGCCACACTCTTCACATTTGTAAGGTTTCTCCCCAGTATGAATTCTCTTATGCTGAGTAAGGGTAGAGGACACATTAAAGGCTTTGCCACATTCTTCACATTTATAAGGTTTATCACCAGTATGAATTCTCTTATGTTTAGTAAGGTTCGAGGATTGGTTAAAAGCTCTGCCACAATGTTCACATACGTAGGGCTTCTCTCCAGCATGAATTATCTTATGTCTAGTAAGGGTTGATGACTGGTTAAAAGCTTTGCCACATTCTTTACATTTGTAGGCATTCTCTCCAGTATGAATTATCTTATGTTTAGTAAGGTGTGAGGATATGTTAAAAGCTTTGCCACATTCTTCACGTTTGTAGGATTTCTCTCTAGTATGAATTATCTTATGTGTGTTAAGGTGTGAGGACTTGTTAAAGGCTATGCCACATTCTTCACATTTGTAGTGTTTCTGTCCTGTATGAATTCTTTTACGTTGAGAAAGCGTTGAGGACACATTAAAAGCCTTGCTACATTCTTCAAGTTTGTAGGAATTGACAGTAGTGTGAATTCTTTTATGTTGAGTTAGGTGTGAAAGAACACAAAATGATTTGCCACATTCTTTACATTTGAAAGGATTCTTTTCAGTCTTATGTCTATTTGAATTTGAAAATTTATGAAAGTCTCTCACATATTTATCACATTGAAATATTTTGCTCTGGGTAGTTGACAAACACTGGTTAAATCCATTATAACTTCCTTTGTGCACCTTATACTCATCCACACTTTTACACCCTTTTTTTAACTGTAAATTGTGCTGTCCACATTTTTCATATTTTCTTGGTATTATTCTTTGGAAAGAAGCTTTTATGCTCTGCTCTGGCCAAAGGTCTTGGGCGAAATAACAACACATACCTGAAAGAAATAAAAATAACAACTTACTCCACATACTAGACTCAGATACATATTCTTTACAAATCCAACCTACAAAATTATACAAACTACATAAACAAGATTGCATAAGAAGGCCGGGCATGGTGGCTAATGCCTGTACTCCCAGCACGTCGAGATGCTGAGATGGGCAGATCACCTGAAGTCAGGAGTTTGAGACCAGTCTGGCCAATATGGTGAAACCCATCTTTTCTAAAAAATACAAAAAAATTAGCCGGGAATGATAGCATGCACCTGTAATCCCAGCTACTCAGGAAGCTGAGGCAGGAGAATC